GTGTGTTGTTTTTGTTCTCCATAGGTTTAACCTAGCCTCTTAATTTTTGAGCTGTGTGCAGAAAACTTTTCCTCTATTTTAGCCATGGATACTGCTAATGTATCATCCTTTGTGAATCATTTGTTGCTTTACTTTACTCATTTGTAGTTCAAGCGGAAGCTCTAATGATATGATCACTATGACATAACAATAACAGCATGTATGTCATTCTTTCGATCATCCAAAGCTGCCATGTGAATTATCTTGCATTCATTAGAACAATGGTATAATTTCTATTAACCCCTGTTACAGGTGGGGGCCAGAGAAAGTGTGGCTTGCTTATAAGTTTTACAGTACAAGTGAGACGTAAACTAGGGACATCTTGATTTATAGCATAATCCTTTAATTTCTGTCACAAGAAGCAGCTAGTGTTCAAAAACTAGAAGTAGTGCTCCTGTCATGGACTCTCCATTTTCTGAAGAAATCATGTCTCTAGGCTGTAGAGTCTAATATGACAGGTGGGCAACATGTGGCTTATAGGTTGTGTGAAGCCCCCGGGGCCCAGACATGACCTGCCAGCACTCGCAACCCCATTCGAAGGCATTTCACTCTGAAACATTTTGTGTGCCCTCTGCAGGCACGATACCGTTCCCCTCTCATTCTCTGAACAGTAGAGAATGCAAGGAGGCATCTTTAGTAAAAACAAAACAAAGCAAAAAACCAAAACCAATACATTTTTGTATGACCAAAATTGGAAGGATGGAGGATGTGATAACAGTAGTCCAAGGTCCAGGGGATCATGTGCACATGAGCTCTGGAGGTTACCTAACCATATCTTAAGCTCGGGATGGGCTGTCTTATGCATGGGCATAGTTTAAGAAATGTTCCATCACCCTGCTCCTGATGAATTCCAGCGGAATTGACTCCTCTAGAAAGCACACAGGTAGTAGCACTAGGAAATGAAAAGAGAGAGACCGCCTTCTGACTCTTCCCTGTCACCCCCCTCTGCAAGGAGAAGGGGGAAACTGGATATTTCTTTTTCCATGATTACTAAATGACATATTATTTCACTGCCTTGCCATCCAAGTAACAGCACTGATCTGTTGTGGGAGGCAACGTTTTGGTTAGATACTGGTGCTCAAACATACAATAAACCAAACTAAGCTGGAGCCATCTTACCTAAGGTATTTTTAAAAGTAGCTCTTGCTAATGGTGGAAAAAAAAGTGGTGGTAGCCATGAAAGGAGATTGTGCTGATTCGTATTTACCAGTACATCATGTCCACTGGAATAGCCAACATCTTGGTTATTCTGGAACACAATAATTTATCTGAAGAACACAAGAGGTTAGCAGACAAGATGACAGAGAGGAAAGCAGACTCATATTCTACTAGGGAAAGATGGCCTTTTTCTTCCTTGCTGGGAGTGATGCTATTTCAGACCACAAGTCAGCAATGCCTTTTAAGCTTCTATCCCAGAAAGCTGATTTAGTGGCAAAGTAAGAACATAAGAAGAGCCCTGCTGGATCAAGCCAAGGGCCTATCTAGTCCCAGCTTCCTGTGTCTCACAGTGGCCCCATCAGATGCTCCTGGGAGCATACATCTAGATACCCGTCTCCTGATGCCACTCCCCTGCATCTGGCATTTTGAGGTACCTTCCTTTTAAGACTGGGAACTATACATTCCCATCATAGCTTGTAACCTGCGATAGACTTTCCCTCCAGGAATCTGTCTTATCCCCTTTTAAAGGCATCTAGGCAAGATGACATCACCACATCCTGTGGCAAGGGGTTCCACAGACCAACACGCTGCTTAAAGAAATATTTTCTTTTGTCTGTTCTCTCTCTCCCAACACTCAGTTAGAGTGAATGTCCCCTGGTTCTAGTACTGTGTGAGAGGGAAAAGAGCTTCCCTCTCTCTGCTTCCCTCTATCCACCCAGAGGACGAGGCACATGAAGCTAAAACCTTCTCCCCTCCTGTCCTATGGTGTTCCTGCTGCACTCTCTTTACTAGGTCTGCACGGAGGTCATAAAAAGTAACTCTGGTAAGGCACGTCACCTGCTTTTGCTGGAATGTTGAGAACTTTGTTTCCATTTGTGTCGTATTTCTCTGTTTATCCATCATCATCATCATCATCATCATCATCATCATCATCATCATCATCATCATTTTAATGTTATCAGGGAACTTCAGATGATCAGAAATAGGTTCTTAGGAT